TTATCAGTAATGTCCTTCTGCAGAATTTTAGAGAAGGGAGGGGATCTGGGGGAGGCTCTAAGAATCATTTTTCACAGTATTTATGTGTATGTGTAGGTGTATATGTATATATATAATATATATATATGCACACACATATATACATATGTATGTGTGCCTGTATATATGTAATTGTGTGTGTATATACATATGCATATATATGTAGTGGATAGGTTTCTGTCTAGATAGAAAGATAACCATTGTGCATAAATATAACACTTTATAGAAATGATGAGATTTTGACTTTCTTAATTATAACAAAATTCTTTTTGTTAATTTCATTTTGTTGATTGATCAGCAATTCACACTTACTTTAGCAGAAATTGCAGAATGGAGATTTAAAAGTACTCTGAGTATAGAAGGAAGTTTTGTGCTTGACAAACAGAACATCAACCAAGGAAAGAGTGGTCAATTCTCGGAGTGAAGTATATGAATTTTAAAAGTGTACTAGAGTTTTCTAAAACTTGGCAAGTATATGTGGTATGAAATGTTAAACCTTAAAATAGCAATCTCTTTAAAAGAAAATTCCTCTTGTATTTCTAGATAATAGAACTTGTCCATAAATGAGAATAAGAGCTTAAACTAGGCCAAGGTCATTAAGGTTTTTTTTTTTCCCCCAGAGATCCAAATTTATAAGATAGTGACAGTCCATGACATTTAATAGCAACTGGAGACAACAAAGGTAAAGATTATCTTAACAAGAATAACAAGCTACCCAAAGTCTGGGTACAAAGCTACCCAATGTCAGATTAACATGAGCATCCTGAAATCTGTGGTAGTATCTTGGGGTCTCTGGCTCCCTTCTGTCCTATTGGTCCCTTCAGTAGAGTACAACTTTCACGCTACTTCCCTGCCAGGTTTAAATTATAGTATATGGTATTTTCCTAAGGGATTTGAACCAGACATGTGATTTTAATCTCGTTAGCACATTCTTTGTAGCTTATAAGCTTTGTAATTTTTTTTCCAAAAGAACAGGTACATATTAGGGAGCTTACTATGTGCTAGATACTGTCTAAACATTTCAGATACAAAGAAAGGTAAAGGATGGTTTCTATCCTCAAATGAGCACACAATGTAATGGGAGAGAGAACATGCTAACAACTATGTACAAATAAAATATAAGCAGGGATAAATTGGGGCATAATTTCAGAGGGAAGGCATAAGCATGAACTTGTATCTATTTCTATTAAAGAATATATTAAGGATAAAATCCAGAAAGATAACTAGAATTCTTACTATCCTAACTATAATTTTACCAAAACCCTAGTTTAAAACAGAAAGGCATTAAATCCCAACCACCCCCTTCTTCATTACATGCTTTTTCAATGCCATTTTCTTCAACTGATACTGGGTTTCATCTTGTCATTTAAACAAGGATTCTGAAGCTTAAAGTTTTTCTATATATAGTCCAATAGTGCCTAAAGCTGGAGTCAGCCAGCAAAATCTAAAGAGGATAGTGACCCCCTGCAAGTAAGATATGCCTTCACTCATACAAACTAACCAAGGCAGGAAAAGAAACCAGTGGTAAAGAGTCCTGGACAGAGTACTTTTTCTGCAGTGAAAATTAACTGCCCAGATTATGACTGGAATATGGGTACTGAAGAGGTCTAGGACTTTTGGGGTGCTGCAACCCCAAAATCATGGTACTGGGCCCTGGCTGAATGAATTCAACTCAAATCTTCTTCAAGCCAGAGGAAAGATTTATTAGTGATAGATCACATAGGTCAGATGATGCCCATAAGGACCAGCAGGCATGAGAAAAGCTCAGCCTTTGGGGCATGAGAGATTCTCAGGGTTTGAACGGGGGCCAGGGTGGATCTTAAATACAATAAAACCACTTCAGGTGGCCAGAGGATGGGGCTGGGAAAAGGGTCTATGTAAGGATTTTAATTGGGGAGGTTTTAATAAACAATGGGAATAGCTAATGGGGTGAACAGGAAGGCATTTGTCAAAGGGAGATAAGGGGAGTCAATAAGAAACCTGAAAGTTTAAGTGTTTGATGGGGCCTGTAATGGAGGGAGCTAGAAGGCATCTTAGTAGGTTAAAAGGTGTAGGCTAAGGCTTCCAAAGGGAGATAAGGAGCTGGGATATGTAGACAAATGAGAGCCAGATTCCCTTTGGGGTAAAGGTGGGGGAGGGAGATCTCTAAGCTCACCCCATCAGTACCCCACTGTGATCTAAGAATTGTGTCTGAGCATCACTGGCCTGCTGATAATCATAGTCCTCTTATGACTTGCTGTGTGTCAGCTGCATGTTCATGTAGGAGATATTCCACCATGTAGGGGGCATTAAAACTCATAGTAGTCTGTGGTTTCATGGAATTGACCCCACTGGTATTATTTCCAAAGGTAGCCCTTAAGTTACTGGCAAGATAGGGGTGCTGAAACATCTGGTGCTGATAGCTGCCCTCTCCAACATTCTGGAACTGGTTACTCCAAGTCTGCTTGCCCCATACTGGAAGGTTTCCAGAAGGGTTCCCGGTGAAAAGGAGAGTAGAAGCTTAAGTAGTTCCCAACAGCTGATCCATTCTGAACCATACCCATACTGTTGCCATTCTTTGACCACATGATGTCTTTCTTCCACCTCTTTGACTTCATTCTCTGCTTCTGAAACCAGGTTTTGACCTGTTTGTAAGTAAGTTTCAAATTCTCAGCCACGTTTTGAATCTGCTATGGACCGAAGTACTTTTGTTCCAGGAATTTACTCTTGAGTACATTTAATTGAGCCTGAGAGAACATTGGCTTCATCTTAGGTTTTTTACCAGACATTGATCTTCTTTTTCCTGATGAATCTTAAGCTTGTTCTGAGAGGAAAGGTTATTTGAAGTCAGGCTAATGGCAGAGTCAGTAATATCTTGAATAAATATATCCATGGATGAAGGAGGAGCAGGAGAAATTGCTGTGCTGTTTGGCTGGAGCTTTCCACACTTTGTATTGGGAAATTAGAGTAAGGGATTGGGGAGGTAAATGGCTCTGAATGGGACACAGAGATCCGCGTGTTGTGAGGGCAGCTGGCATTGCCTTCGGGCCAGCAGGACTGGCATTGCTTTGAGTGAGAACTAGAGGTTACGTTTTAGGGAAGATGCTTGAAGGGAGGGGTCCAACCTGGGCAGTTGAAGTAAGTCTGGGAGCAAAATTCTTGAGTGTATGGTTGGCAAAGTGCTTTGCAAAGCATAAAATGCTCCACAAATGCAAAATAGTCTTCCAAAAGAGAGACTCAAAAATGACAAAGGCTGTACCTGACCTATGAATATCAGCCTAAACAGGAAAGTGTCAAGCTTTTTATTTTTTAACAAATATTTTATTTATTTAAATAACCAAGACCCACTTTCTCAGTCTCCTTCCCAAACTCCTCTCCTCTAATTGAGAACATAAGAAAAAATAAAAATTTTACAAGAATATGGAGTCAATCAAAAAAAATACATATTGGTCATGCTCCCCCAAAACCTTTCTAATTCTGCATTATGAGTTCTTCACCTCTTAAGCAGGAGGTGCATGGCATATTTCCTCATTACTTCTCTATGTAGTATATTGCTATATATTAGCAATTAGCAATATACTTGGCTTGCCATTGTGCAGATAAGAGTTCAGCATAATAGTTAGTATCCCATCACGTTTGCATGCCATAACCTGTTCATTTGTTTTATTGGGGTATAGTCCCAAACTGAGACCTTTGCCCTTCTCCCCAAAAAGAATTTGAGTCCCATTTTCTACAAGGCCCAGAAAACCTTAAACATTCTTTGACTGCACTCTCATCTCAAATGGTTGCCAGAGGCTATACTCCATTCAACTTCCCTTTCCTTAATCTCTTATTCTTATTCTGACCTCTCCTTATCTCTCTAAGAAGCCAGTCTTTGAAATCCTAATAAAGAAGCCTAGTCTTTGATTGCATTTAGGATCTTATCAACCTCTTTCTTCCAGTTCTTTGTTATCCTAGGAAAGGGTGAGCCTTTCATTGTCTACTGGGTGCCCCTATCCAGACACTCCCATTCTCCCTAAACTCCTCCCCCAGTTACCCAGATGCTCTTCCCAGCCCCTCCTCTGGTCACCCAACATTACTTGAGTGTATATAAAATCCACCCTGACCCCCATTGAAATGCTGATATTTCCTCATGCGAGCTAGTCCTTACAGGCATCCCTAATGTTCAGATTCCTTAAGAGTCAGGCCTGAGTGGTCCATGCTTAATAAAACTTTTCTCTGGCTAAAAGATTTGGGTCAAATTCATTTGGGCAGAACCCACCATGCAGTGATTTCAGGGTCCCACAACCCCAAGAATCTAGACCTCATCAGTTTCACAATTTATTGGCACTCCCCTCATATCCCCATTATTTGTCATCTTAGATAGAGTTAAAAACAATTTCTCTTGGTAATCTGTGTCCTGGAGACTCAGAAATCTCCCCCCTCCCCAGACTTTTGATCACAGTTCTTCAGAAGGACATCTCTGATAATGAGATTGCATTGAATCTTCTTATCTTGGTCAAACTCCAATCCAGACCTGAATTGATTTTATTCCACTCAGGTTTAGGTGGAGACAGACTCCCAGGACTGGGGGTGGTATTTCCTTTGATAGGAGGTGATATTGATCCCTGTGGAAAGCACATACTCAAGACTTCAATTTAATATATAACCCACCTCCTAGTATGTGACCAATCACAATTTAATGGCACTGTTAGTTAGAAGGGCTTAAGTTTCCACAGGTAGAATAATGCAGAGATTTAAAGAACAACAGCTCCAGGAAGTACACTGCAGGTGGGCTCAGGCTTAGCCAATAAAAAGTAAGTGGATTGTTCCATAAAGAACCCAAAATCAAGATAAGGGTTGAGCCAACTCAGACCAGTTAGAGTCAACCTGAGGACACCTGAAAAATGTTAGTGCGCCTGCTTAATGAGCTTCCTTACTATTATCTGACACACCCTGAATAAAATTAGAGCCTCATTAACGAGTCATGGGATGTATGACCAAGGGAGGGGGAACATACTTGAGCATATCAAGGGGAAACATGTAAGGAAAGGTGTAACCTGGGAAGGGATAGACCAATCCCAGCCTGGGAGGTTTTGCACAGAATTCAACTGCATAAAAGCACACTTGCCCTTGCACTCAGGGCCCACCCCTCCTGAAGAGGGGTGGAGCCTGCTTCTGGCCAGAAACTAAATTTTTGGTGTCAAGCCTATTTCTAACAATTTGGCACCCAATGTGGGGCTTGATCTAGACTTCAGAGGGCACAAGGTAAGACATCCCGGGGAAGAGGTGAATTGAGCCTTTCCCAACCGAACTCCTGATCTTGGACCACGTTGAAGAAGTCCAGGGGATTGGGGAAGCCGCCGGCAGACCACAAGACAATATATTGGGCAAAGGTAAGAAACAATCTTTGCTGGTCTCAAACTCCCAAGGTCTGGGGATCTGACTGGTTAGCCTTGAGCTAGGAACAGATTTGGAGATGGGAGGGGCAAATTCTAAGGTACCTGAAAGAGAGGGAGGAATCCCCAGGGACAACATTCCTTCTGGTAGCCCTCTGGGAAGGATGTTAGAAAGTTGGGAGGATGCTCCCAGGACTAGAGGGAAGAAAATGATTAAATACTATTGCCAGGAGTGAACTAAGGAACCTGTCCTGGCACCGTCAGTGTTTTTTGGCCTAAATTTTGATCAGATGAGGATTGGATTTGTCAACTGCTAAATTTGTATGTAAATGATAAGAGAAAGGCCTCTCAAGAAGAAAAAGGTTATGCTGGTTTCTGGGGCCCAGGGGCTATAACCCCAACAGTGACAGGTATATTCTTAAGTAAGAGGAAAAGAAAAGGAGAAAAAAAAAATACCTCGGAACCCATTCAAAGGGGACCCTGGGACAAAATGAATTTCTTTTGACTGGTCAAGGTTAGAAGTAGGATTGTGCACACCCTGTCTGTCTGTCTGTCTGTCTGGATGTTTTGTGTCTGCCAGAAAAATTTTGGGTAACTTTTGAGGTCTGAGATTGGAAAAGGAACAGTGAGAAAGACCTCCTGCCTCAGGCTTTCTGGGGGAGATTGAGATTAGAATAAAAAAAAAACCAGGAAAGAATCTCTCAGAAGTTAGTGGAAGGCCAGCAAGCAGCCTCTAACTGATAAGGAGCTTGCAGCCCAAGATGGCTAGGGCCAAGAGAAGAAAAAGGGCCCCAGGATTAGAATTCATGTTTAATGGGATCCCAAGGCTAAGAGTTTGAATGGCTGTCTTTATTCCTGCCACCAATGTGTCTGGTATAGGGGCAATGTGTTTAACATTACAAAAATAAGGGTTTTTAACATTATAAAAGCTATTTGGGGAAAGGCTGGGAGAGTGCTTTTCTCTGGGTTTGCAATTCTTATGTCCCTTCTGAGTCCAAAGCTGTCCCAGCCTTGAAGAGTGGGTGAGAAATGGGTGTTTGTTTTGAGGTAAGCCACCCTTGGATATTGATTCTGGCTTCCTTCAAGGTGTTTTAAAAATGTAAGGAAGTTTGACTCTGCTTTGGGTAGAATTGAAGTGAAAATTTTGCAGATCATTGTGATTGGAGATTGTTACATAGACTGGGCTGTTCAATTACTTATTGGAACTCTGGAAGCTTTCTGCCTAAGGGGAGAAAATTGATTAGGCCTAGTTAACATTGAAGTAGGAAAGAAAAAAGGAAGAAAATTGTTTAAGGCAGGAATTACTTACACGTGTCTGTTTAAGGGAATATATAAACATGTGGAGAATATTTCCTTTTAAAGGGCCAAGAGTATTGGATTTAAAACAAAAATGTTTTTAAATGTTTATCATATATAGCCATTATAAATTAGGATCTGATTGGATTTAAGTTTACTATTCTATAAAGGAAAAATGGTTATTATGGAAAAGAAAATGAATGATAATTGTAGAGTATGTAATACAATGGCATATGTTAGAAGTGGCACTATTTATTATTTAATGTAATTGTTAAAAGCACTAAGAGTAATAAGAGTGATAATTTCTATATGTGATAATCTAGAAATTCAATTGATGTTATCTGAAGTTTGTTGTTTAGGTTATTACTGTATTTCTAAAATTGTATTTCTAAAACTCTTAGATTGTAAAATTTTAGGGACCATTGTGAGGTAGAAATGGTGTTAAAATAACTCTTGGACTGGAATGGGTCTTTAGTGATAAAGAGTGGAGATGTGATGAAATTGAGATAATTTGAAATTGTTAAATACCTAGTGAGGTATATTGGTTTTTAAAACTATGATAGTAGATTTTCATTTAAAATCTTGACTATTATAAAAATATATGATGGTTTAAAGTTATAGTCTCAACATATTAATAATGAGATGAATGATTTTCTGTACAAAGTGACTTAGAAAAACATCCATCTAAATTGATAATGGGTCATTTCAAAGTTTATTACAATTGTGGAAATAATTTTATAACGTATGCCCTGTGGTACAAACATATTTTATTGTGGGAAAGCTAATTAATATGTATTTGGAATTAATGAGGTATTCTCTCATAAAAGGGCCTCAAAATTACAAAAATAGAAAAAAAAAGATGTATCTATTTACACATATATATATTTTTCAGACCAGGCCTTCTTTAGGTAACTATTGGGTTTGTTGGGGAATGGGCTGTATGAGCAAGGCTCTTTTGGCAGAGACTAGCTTGCATGGGGAAGTTTAGGTCAAGTAGTATCACTGAGGTTGAATCTGGATGTGGCCCATGGCTATCAGACCCCATAGAAAATAAAGAAAATCCAATCTAGTGGGATAGGAGTGGCCCCAGAGACTGTTGAACCTGGTGAAGGGGTTCAGAAAGAAAAGGGTGGGTTTTTTTTTAAACAATAATTAATTGGGTCTGTTCCAAGTTTTTAATATACTGCTTACATATTTCGGAGTTTTCTTATGTGACATAATCTAGTAAGCAATTGTATTAGTTATGTTGTTGGAAGAGCAATTCATTTTACAACCTAGAACGTTAAATTAAGAATTGTGCCTTCAGAGAAAAGAGAAAAAGGAATGGGTAAATGCTGTTGGGGTATTCTATATGACCCTGTTCTGTAACATTTCCTTTTCTTTTTAAGTACTATAATTTGAGAAATGAGAACTTAAAAGTTTTCTCTGTTTAAGGAAAGTTTTAGCTGGGATTATTTGGCTCTCACCTATGAAGTTTAAAATTGTTAACTAAGCTATTTGGAGTTACTGTTTAAGTGAATTACTGGTAGGAGTATTTTTGTGTGTGTGTAAAGAAACTATGTTACTATGCAAAGAAAGATTTTGTAAAATCTCATAATTCTTGTCACTCCTGTGCAGGAGTTTTGTGAGATGGAACTCTTACTGATTAAGTGGCCCATTGCAGACACCTGTGGACTAAAGAAATTAGGTAACTAGGAATTTCATGGTGATAAACATTTAAGATCAATTGAGCCCCAATAAGGGCCAAAAATGAGAATTGATCTTTTCTTCCTGAGTGAGCTAAGAATACTGATCAAGAGCATTCTTATGTTTATGACCACTGAGGCACCTTTAACCCAGACACTACCTTTGATAGTGGTAAAGGAGACCCAGATGTCCTGGATCTAACATTTGCCTATCTTATTTAAATTTCCTTTCTCATGCTCAGGTTAAACATTTGGAGACCATGAAACTGAGTAACCCAGATGTCCAGAGTCAGGGTGGAATGTCACCTATCACTAGCTTGTGGTCTCTTTAACCAATGTTCAGGTTGACAATGGTAATTAGGAAATTGTAAGCTATTTTTAAGAAAAGGAGACACTTTTATGAAGAAGATGTTTTGATGAAGTCTTTGATATTCTTTTAGAGGGCCCACTAAATTTCTATTTGCAAGCTAATTTGTTGCAGTAATAATTTATTGTTGATGAAAATTATATTCAAATCTCTTATGAACTTAAGAGTTTCATTTCTGGGTTTGTTGTGTCCTTGGATAGGACTTAACTGGGTGCTTTTAGAGAAACAGTATCAATGGGAGCAGTGTCAGAGATCTAAGGCTAGTGATTAATGCTAAAGCATATAAGCTGTAAGTAGGAAAGATCTTACTGTTTTGATCTGAATTCATTCCATGGCCTAGAAAGAGCTAAAAGTACTATTTAAATTTATATGTATAAGATTCGAGTCCTGAAAGTGTCTCATTCTTTCAGATTAAGGATGGTTAGGGATACATAAGCTTAAAGAAACAGAAAGGCAAATCTATTTGGAGTAGTGACTTATGATCTTAATGGAAATTTGATTTTACTTAGGATATTATTAGGAACCATAACATGTGTAGGAAGTTATGCAAGCTACTCCCTTTGGAGATGTTCCCTAATTAATGTGAAACTATAGAATTTGCTATCTAAGACCTTGGAATCTGTTAATGAAATAATGAAATAATATTTTGAGTCTAAATCCAGGTATGGTTAACAACAAACTGATTGAGCTACTGACCCATGAAATCAGCAACCTGCAAAGAGGTTTGTGAGCTGCACCTATGAGCTGCAAGAAGGTGTTCTCATGGGAAGGTTAGGAGAATGACTTTTCTGCGTGGCTGATGTAGGATTCTCCTGACTCAGTTTCCCCACTGACACCTGGCAGACTTTAAACCTGGCTCAATGCAGTTGGTCATTATATAACTTCTGCCTGGAGTTGACATGGATCTAGGGAAGCATTGTTCCCTTACTTTAGTTATGTTCTTTCATGGCAAATTCCTATATTCATAAGTTTGTAAGCATAAATATTGAACCTATTAAGCAATAGATTGCTGTGGGAACATCTGAGGTTATTATAGTAAGATGAAAAAGATTGAGTTATTTGGCCTAGAATTTCAGAATTAAGTATATTCCTGTATAAGTCAGGATCCTTTAATTTCTCATAATGGTTATGATGAGGTCTGGAGGTTTGGGGGTGCTGGGACTCTAAGGTCACAGCACAAGGGTCCCTCCTGAAGAAGTTCAGCCCAGGTCTTTCAGCTAGGGGGGAAGTTTGTTAGAGATAAACCATATGGGCCAGGTGACCCCCATAAGGAGGAGCAGGCATGAGAAAGTCTGCATTTTATATAGGGGTCAGGGTGGATCTTACATTCTCTAAAGTAACTTTGAGTGACCAGAGGAAGGACTGGGAAAAGGGTCTAGGAGAGAATTCTGATTGGAATGTCTGAGAGATTGAATAGAAAATGGGAACAGATAATGAAGGGAACTGGAGGGAGGAGGTTTGAAAGGCATCTGAATAAGATCAAGAAGTGGGGCCAGGGCTTTCAAAGGAAGATGGGGAGCTGGGGCCCTTAGACAATGAGAACCACATTCTTTCTGGGGCAAGGGGCAGGACTTGGACCCTTACCCTACCATTAGGGGTATGATTGTTCTACTTTGGCTTTGCCTCCACACATGCAGGTATTTATAATCTTAAAGGGTGTATGGGTTAAGGGGAGAATTAAAGGATTAAGAGGTATGCTCAGGGTTCCATAATCAGTAAAAGTTAGAGTCAGTGTTTGAACCCAATTCTTACTGGTGTCAAGGGCTGCTCTCTATCCATTATTCACCTTGATGGGGGTGGGGCCCAAGCCAAGATCTTTGCCCCTTGCCCCAAAGGGAATATGACTCCCATTTGTCTACAGACCCCAGCTCCTCATCTTCCTTTGAAAGCCTTAGCCTTACCTTTTAATCTTATTCAGATGGCCCTAAAAGAATCTGGCTCCCTTTTGTCTATAGGCCCCTGAAAGGCCTTACTCTGGTCTCAAAAGGTTCCTTATCACCTCCCCTTATCTCCCTTTGAAAGTCCTAGCCCCACCCTTTGATCTTGTGCAGATGGCTTTCAAACTTCTGCCTTCCTGTTCCCTCTATTAGCTATTCCCTTTGTCTATTCAATCTCTCAGACCTTCCAATCTGAATGCTCACCTAGACCCTTTTCCCAGCCCGGCTTCTCTGGCCACCCAAAGTTACTTAGGTGTATAAAAATTCTGCCCTGGCCCCCATTCAGACACTGAGAATCTCAAGCTCAAAAGGCTGAGACTTTCTCATGCCCGCCCTTTCTTATGGGTGTGTCACCTGGCAAATGTGATTTATCACTAATAAACTTTTCCTTTGGTTGAAGAAGATTTGAGTTGAATTCATTCAGCAGGGCCCAGTACTGCGATTTTGGGTTTGCAGCACCCCAAAAGTCCTAGACCTCTTTAACCTTACCTTTTAATTCTTATTTACCTTTTCTCTTTTCATTAGTCACAAAAATTCTAAGTTTACCTCTGGCTGATTCTACTTGAATACATTTTAAACATATATACATATATATGTGTGTGTGTGTGTGTGTGTGTGTGTGTGTGTGTGTGTGTATGTGTATATATATATAATTTCTATATATTCTTAAAACACTGTATCTTGTCTTTTGGTTTAGATTTTTATTTGCTTTTGGTTATATAGCACAAGTGATTCTGCTATTCCATTTAAGTCATATTCTCCCTAAAAAGAGATGATCTTTTTGGTGCACAATTTAATTTGTAATTAAATAGGCATAATTTAAATTATAGTTGAAGAGTTTTATGACTTTATAAATTCAAATTTTGATTCATGATTGATGTTTTTGTTTTTTATTATCAAGGATAGAAGAAACTCAGCCTTATCATTTTCCAAATTCTGTCCATGTTGCATATGGATTTTGAGAGAGACTCAGACACATATGGTTAAGGTAACCCTGACACATCACTCTTTAAACCTGGGAAAACTTGGTGGCTCCTTAAAATAAGTTAAATTGCAAAGGCTGTAGCCAATAACATCAACTCATATTTTGTCTTTCTTGGAGAATAGGGTGACCTATGTGTCCTCCAGATTATGTAAAGCATGTGGGGTCATATATGAATAATCCAGTTCAAAATCACTTCTGTGTAGATCCCAGAGAGCAATGCCATTGTGTGTGTGTGTGTGTGTGTGTGTGTGTGTGTGTGTGTGTGTGTGTGTAAATATACAGTGTATTCAACACTAATTATGGGGGAAAAACCTCCCATTACTCCCACACTGTCTCTCCCCCTAATAATTTGCTATATAGCTCATTATATTATTATATTATATTATATGACAAATAATTAAACAAAATGTGCATACATATGGATTTTAAAATATAAAGGAATGAAGGTATAGGAGGCAATACTTTTAAGCATCCCATTTATCATTACAAATAAATAATTTCTTTGCAATGTGACTGGTTTTCATTTTATCTAAATTTTATTGAATTTGATAATGTCAATTTAAATGCATTAGTAAGTGTTTCTGTCAGTATTATATGTGTGTATGTGAATATAGCATCAAATACATGCATACGTGGTCATTTGTACCCACTGTAATACAGAGTAAAGTTTAACTGTTATGTGCTCATTTCATGACATGAAATGCCTATGTGATTAAATCCAGTAAAGAACTGAGAATATTGCCAATGACTCCCGCTGTAATGATACGATTCTGGTAGAAGGCTGTAGTATTTAGTTCAGATTGGAATGCTCAGGAGACTTTTCCTGACAGGAGGCTTAGCAACTAAGTGCAAATATTAATATTTTTAATAAGCCTCAAGTCTTTCATAATTTAATATCATGGACTTTTGTCACAATTTTTTTTTTGGAAGCTGATGGTTTCTGAGTTGAAATACAGTTAGCAACAACTTAAGCTTTTTTCTTCTCCCCAAGCAAGGTCACAAATGAAAAATGTTTTCTGCTGAGCTATTTTGCCCACAACTGAGCATGCTAAAAAAGCATTCACAGAACATTGAATGAATCAGATATTACATTTCATGTACATAATTGGAGTATATAAAATACAAAATGACATATAAGTAGGATCCAGAGTTTGGGATGGGAGGATGTTTTATCAACAAGAAAGTTTTTTCTTTTTATTTTTCCACATCATGCTAGTATAAAATATTAAGATTGATTGATTGATCATGTGTGTATGTTTAGGTTCCCTTAAAAGTCTCAATACTTTATATTCACTTGATAAGTTGTATTAAACAAAAACCAGAAAACTCATTATAAGACAAGCAATCTAGCATTGCAGATAATAATATTATTTTATCATGTTAATTTTAAACATGACAATTTTACTTTACCTGATTGTTAATTCAATAATACTAATAGCTCACAGTTATATTGCACTTTAAAGTTTATAAAAAATTGTCAATTTGAACCTCCCAATTCACCGGTGAAGAATGTGGTGTTATTACTCAATTATACACATGAAGAAACTAAGGCTCAGAGAGGTTAAGTGACTTGCCCATGGTCACGTTGTTAGTGTTTGAAACTAGATTTAAATTCAGATTTCCTAATGCCTAATCTAAGATTATTTGTTATGCTTGGCCACCTCTCAGAGCATTCAAGTCTGTCTAGAAGGCAGCAAAGAACTCTTACAAAGAGCTTTCTCTGTGGGGGGCACTATGCTAAACTCTGGGAATACAAAAACAAATTGAAAGAAAAACAATCCTTGCCCTCAAGAAGTTTACATTCTGGTAATGAAAGAGTACATAAAAGTAAACTGGAAAAGGGGTGGTGTGAAAGTAGCTTGAACAGTAGAGAAAGACCAGAGTGCAGCCCTGAGAGGAATGAGATATGACTGTCTGGGGGGCCTTCTTTAAATGGAGGTTCTAGGGGAGGGGAGAACCATCCAATGAGAGAGAAAGAGAGATTGAAGGAGGGAAAGATACTTCTGCTGTGTGAATTCCAAGGGCTATAGTGAGTTTGCAAGGTGAAGTTTCTGAAGCAGAGTAAAGAAAGTCTGCATGCAGAGCAAACTAGTGATAAGTGAATTTTATCTCATTGTACCCTTACACAAATTCTGAGAAGCATACAGAATAAATATTATTGTTACTGTTGAGTTTTAGATGTTCTGGGACCCTAAAATAACAACACACAGGTCCTGCCTGATTGAATTTGGCCCAAACCTTGTTTCAGCCAAAGACAAAGTTTCTTAAAAATCCACTATATTGGGGCAGCTAGGTGGTGCAGTTGATAGAGCACAGACCCTGGAGTCAGGAGGACCCGAGTTTGAATCTGGCCTCAGACACATAATCCTTCTAGCTGTGTGACTCTGGACAAGTCACTTAACCCTAATTGCCTCACTATAAAAAAAAATCCACTATATTGGCCAGACTCTTAAGGAATCTGAACATTTGAATCTCTAAAGCGGGCCAGATTGAATCTGAGCTATTGACCAGATTTTAAGAATCTGAGCACCTTAGTGGAAGCCAAAATGGATCTTATATACAGAAAGACTGTGAGAGGGATCTAGGAGTAGCCAAGTAGTCTAGGGTGACTGGGAGAAGTGGTCTAGGGAGGTTCTTGATGGAAGTGGCCAGTAGTCTGGGGTGACTGTGAGGTAACAAGGAAGAAGAATGTCAGGGACCTGGACCATGTGACCAAGGGAGACTAGGCTCTAGATAGGATCAAGCAGTGGAGGTTTAGGGTGAGGCCAGGTGGAGACAATGAAAGGCCACTTGACTGGGATAGGTTGATTCCTCAGGTGAATGCTAGAGACTTGACTACGTGGGGAAATTCAAGGAGAGTTGGGAGGAGGGGGTTCCAGGGCCTATACCCCATCATTACCATTTTATAGATGAAGAAACTGAGATTCAGAAAGATTGAAGTGATTTGCCCAAAGTAATATGCTTGTTAAGTATCAGACTAAGCTTTCTGATTCTGATGTTTACTATTCTTTCCATTATAAAATAAATAAATAGTAGCTGAAATATTGCCATTTAAAGATAAAGGTTACTTTTTCTTTAAAGCATAATGCTGCCAGTCATGGTAGGGAGTTTTCTGGCTGGAATTAATGCAGAAGAATTTTGAAGGTGGGCTAGATTTACACATCCAAACATAGAAAAATTCATACATGAAGATAAATGCTATAAATAGTATGAATTCTGGAAATAAGGTATTCTTTTCCATCTGAAGACTGAATAATTTAGTCTGCCCTTCCTCCCTCTCTAGTAACAATCCTTGCTTAGGATCACAGAATCTTAAGAGTAGGAAGGAATCTTCTCACCTTATTTAGTTCACCCATTAAAGAAGCCCCACTACAACATGCTCTACATGTAACCATCCAGCTTTTGCTAAAAGGACTCTTGTAAAGAAGGGAAAATTATTTCTTCCTGACACTTACTGGTGTATTTTACAATGGATCAGAGTGACTTATCTTACTCTACTGACTTGGCCAAATATATATACACACATATATATACACATATATATATATATATACACACATACATATATGTGTATATATATACACATATATACACATATATATACACATATATATGTATACACACACACATACACACACACACACACACACATTTTGAGAAATACATTCTGTTAATCAAGATGGAAATAATCCCTCTTTTGAATCCCTTTTCGCATACTATTCCGCTAGTTTTGTACCTTTTTCTGATGTATCTAATGTTTACATTTTGGTGTTATCAAAGTCTGAACATTTGAGGTACTTTCCATCTTTCAGAATGTCACATAAATACTATAGGAATCCACGTTATGTGGAACTTTATAAAAAAAATTGAATGCCCAGCCAGGGTCAGGGACACAGAGTAAAGGTTACAGACATTGTCATTGCTCTTGAATATTCACCAGGAATAGGGATTACAACAGACATCTGAATAAAAGGATAGCAATGGCTTCGTATAGAGCACTATAGTTCAAAGTAAATCAAAAGCAGCCAGAGAAAATAGAATTATTACTGTTCTTTCCAGTTTTTGATTTTCCTCCACTATTCACAGTATCAGGCATCATTTAGCACAACCAAGAATGACAGATAAAAGAGTATAGGACATATCTTATTATATCCTAGCAACTGCTTACCTAAGGGAGGTAGAATAGAAATCACCAGGAATATTTTTATGTATGAAAAAACTGAAGCTAGGAGAGGATGTGACTTGCCCAAAGACATAGCTAGTGTCAGAGTTAGGAATTAGAACCCAGATTTTCTAATTCTAAGAAAATTGCTTTTTTCACTATATAATACTTTCTCCAAATTAAACATTTGAACAAGTATTGTCTCGCGTGTGTTGCACTCATGCATGCATGCATATATCCAAACAAATCAGTAAAATAGAGAAAGAGCAAATCAATGAATTGGGCATGTAACTAAAAACAACAACAACAACTAGAAAAAGAACAGATACAAATTCTCAATTAAAAACCAAATTGGAAATCCTGAAAAATAAAAGGAGAGATAATATAATTTTAAGAAAACCACTTTTGCTAATAAATAAGACTAGGATACAGTTTTATGAAAAAAATCACTAAAATAGATAAAACATTGGTTAATTTGATTACTAAAAGAAAGAATAAAACCAAAATAACAGAATCAAAAATGAAAAGGTGCCAAAGAAGTAACTGGAGCAATTATTAGGAGCTCTTTTGGCCAATAATTTGACAATAAATCTAAGAATCCAAGTGAAATGGATGAATATTTACAGAAATATAAATTGCCCAGGTTAACAGAAAAGGAAACAAAGTATTTAAAAAACCCCAGCTTAGAAATTGAACAAGCCATCAATGAAGTGCCAAAGAAAAAATCTTCAAGGCCAGATGGATTCACAAATGAATTTTGCCAAACATTTAAAGAACAATTACTTCCAGGTCTATATAAATGATTGAGGGAAAAAAATAGGCAAAGAAGGACTCCTATCAA